CCAAAGTGCGGCAAACGAGGGTGATGGAGCCTACTACTACTACTACTACTACTACTACTACTACTACTACAACTACTACAACTACTACTACTACTACTACTACTACGACTACTACTACTACTACTACTACTGTGCCACTACTACTACTACTACTACTACTACTACTACTACTACTGCCACTGCTACTGCTACTACTACTACTACTACTACTACTACTACTACTACCATTACTACGACGACTACTCTTACTGCGACAATGACTGCTACTGCGAGTTTCTGCCGGAAGGTTGCTTCCCTCCTTACATCCCTGTCCTCCCATTGTTTCAGCATCCCATTCGCGGGGAACCGGTTCTGGACCACACTTACTCGGGAGCCTCAGCAGGCGGGGAGGGGGGCGGGGTATTAATCAAAACCACATGTTGTTTACCATGTCTTCGCTGCCCCGAATCCGCAAGTTTTCTGCGATGCCTGAGACACTGAGGTTTATGCAACCTGCTCCTTGCTCCGTGCGGAGAACGATGCCGTCGCCGAGCGCTTCGAACAACTGGCTGGGGATTGCTTTCGACGTTGGCCTTTCGAGAGCGGCAGGCGTCTGTGCTAAAGTCAGACCGAAATTAATTTGTCCTTTTCTGGGGTCCCGACTGCTGGACAAATCCAGAGGAGTTGCATTCGGGTTGGAGCATTATTGCCTCTGTATGTGTTGCTTTAGGTTGTGTCAGTTGCTACCCTTTTCTCGAACCGCAAGCCGCCGGACTGCATCAAGCAGGCATTGCCGGACTTTGATGCCGCACGTCGAGGGTACCGATGGTTTCTTCATGGCTCGGTGGCAGCGGCAAAACAAAGCGAGCGCAAGCCGACAAAGCGTCATGCTTGTTGCAACCGCAACAAAACAAGCATGGGGGCGACAAGTATCAAGTTTGGGGAAGCTGTTCCAGTGTCGTTTAAGATGGGACGTACCTCGCCCACACTGCTGAGCCTGCTCAATCCCGAAAGCCCAGTTGCACAGAGCGTTCCTGCAGGTCGGAGTTGGACTGAGCTGGGCTGAGCCAGGCTGAGGGTTGAACATTGGCAACGATCCCGCCAAAGCAAAAGACATCTTTAGCTTCATGATGCTTCATGGTTTGGGTGCGATAGAATCAGATAGATCTTGCAGCCTAGCTGGAGCCTCGAATCTCCAAGGGCAGGACACAGGGCCAAAGCAACACGAGCCATTGCATTTCAGGTCATCACGGGTGAGTCGTTGCGTTGTACTCCTACTTCAGGCCTAGGTTTTGACCATGAATGCGATGAAAAAATCGACCTTGGCTGTAGCTGCTGCGAGAATCATGGCGTCTAGATATCGAAAGAGGTAGGACTCAACTGAAGCCCAGTTACTGAGGGCAACTCTGCAAAGCATGGCTCATGTGGTAGGCTTTACGTGTTGACACTCATACCAGCCAGGGATCTTCAGATCTCGGGTTCTACGGAGATCCCAGGAGTTGTGAGGGTGAATGGGGGAAGACTGTACACACCGCCGCGACGACAGAGGCGTTCGAACCTTTTGTTCACAAGTATCTGGAGCTCCATGTTTAAAGCATTGCTTTGGAGATGCTTGCCTTGAGCCTTTATTCTCGTGACTGCCGGCGCACGGATCTATTGCCGAAATCGGAGCCGATCCAGTCCCGTAACGGTACTTCTTTGCATTTCTTTGAGGGTTCTGCTGCTCTACTGGACTGGATCGCAGGAGGGCAGCAACGAACCTCCCTCCAGATATTCGCTGAATTCGTTCCATGGCATCGGATTAGAGCTTAAGGGTGGCGCGAGCCCTCCTTGAGAGATGTATAGTCATGAATCGTGCTAGCGCAAGTGTCGCCGCAGACAAACGGTGCTTGCCTTCCATGCAGTAGAAGTGTCGTCCGAAGCTTGCCACTGAGCCTTTCCCGCACCAGGACACGGCACAACTTGTGCTGCAGCCTAAACTACAGCTTACAGATCGCTAGGTGCCGATGTGGTATGGTTCACTGTGAAAGCAGCGCACAGCTGCGGTCCTTTGGTTTTCTCTTCACATGAAGTCCGGTATTGCTGCGCGGCTGCCCGAGTACTCAGCTGGCTAGTATGCGAACCGGGCAGCACAGCCTCTGGATACAGGACCCCGGACATCATGGGTTCCAGGAAGATCAGAGACATCTTGCCCCCGAAGAACATGTACAGAACTCCTAAATTTGGGGAGTTCCGAATTTCTCTTCGCTAGCAGAGTTGAGGACTGCACAGATCTAGCCTGGCTGCCTGCATGCAAGGCAAACACATAGAGTCGAGTTGTAACACTCGAACAAGCCAGGCCGTTTAAGGCAACATCGTTAACACCCCGCAAGAAGCTCCGCCCGACTCCAGCAGGAAGAGCATGGCAGATCTGGACGAGTTCGACGAAGCAGAACGAGCCTTCGAGAACCAGCCAGAGCCTTGATGTCGGTAAAGCTGCGCCGAATTCGGAGCAGGAGTTCTGAAGTTCTGAAGCCTCCCATATATACCATAGTGGACGGAGGATCGTCAATGCAGGCTGCAGCTCATGCTGATTGCAAGTTGTCAACGATTGTTGAGGCTCAGGGAATAGAAATGCTGGATGTGGGTGTGGAAGACATGGCAGTAGGCGGTCACAGGTCTTGGCCAAGTCCTTGCATTCAGAGTTTGGGCCCCCGTAGAGCTGCAGATGTTTGGAGTAGAGATTTGCAACCCTGGGACTACAATCTCGCTTCAACTCTACGTGTTCGTGCACCCAGAGTGTTCTGTAAAGCTGATGGAATCCCAGTTACACTCAATTCCAATGCCACGCGTCTGGGTAATGAAAGACGGCACTCCCCTAAGTCTAAGTACAAGCTGTGAGACGTGGAGCACTGGCCAGGTATGAGAAGGTCGAACCCTCCTTGTTGGGGGAGGGCACCTACGGCAAGGCATCCGCACCGGATTTTGTTCGGGTGCTTCTCGATTTGGGGATTGATGGTGTCTCACATGTAGCGGTCTTTGATCTTGTTTGAAACCGTTTCTGCTAGTTGTGTGATGCAGACGACATGAAGGAGTACTAATGTGGTGCAAGTCAGAGGCGCTTTCAGGCAGTCGTAGCGTGACGAAATTCATCGTGTAAATGCTAAATACAGCACAAGCTTTAGTGCCTTAACCTAGGGTCCATCACCGTCGTTTGCCCCAGTTTGCTTGTTAACAATGTGCGAAAAGCACGGTAGGATCGGCACTTTCGGCTGTTAACAGGGCTTAACATGGCGTCCAAATTATGA